GCGCTGCAAGGGCAGACCTCCCCTCCCAGCCGGGAGAGTGTTAGGCGGGGAGCTCTGGGCCCCAGCTGGCCTGCTGTGTGCACAAGCAGGGAGCTCTCAGCCCAGCACCTCTCTCAGCTCCCCGAAAGAAGGGAGGGCAGTAGAGCTGCTGCATTAGCTGCTGCACCACCTGGCCAGCAGCCGAGCCAGCAGCCTCTTCCAGCAGAATGTTGGGCTGAGTTTCTTTAGGGGCTGTCAGAGCATAGTAGAGTATTGGCCAATCCGCAGGCTGGATTGTTATTGGTGACAGAGGCCAGAGATGAGCATGTCTCTGAGACCACCACCAACCCTGCACTGGCTGGCGGGAACGCCCCGAGTTTGCTGGTGATCTTTCCAGCCGCATGCTGAAGAACCCGCAGCTCTTACTCCTTTTCCCTCCTTCGTGGCTGTCTCAGTAGCACCATGGAGAGTACAACACCGAGAGGAGGAGAGAGCAGGATTGGGGGACCCCTTCCAGGCCAGGGCACACCCTGCATGCCAAAGCTCTGTTCTGCAGGCCTTCCTTGTGCCCCCACCTGCAGGGCTTTTGGGATACAGGCAGCTGGGTGGATCCCAGCTGCAGAGAGGAAGCATGCCGACCAGAGGGAGCCTGGAAGCTGTCTGGCCGCCCTGCTATCACTCGTCTGTTCAGAGACAGGAGGTTTGCATCTCCAGCCCCATGAAAGTTTCCAAGCACCCGCCGGACTGCTCTCCCTCTACACTAGTTCCTGGGTCTGGTCTCCCTAAGGCCTGCGTTTCCGGAATCCCCTCCAAATATGAATAAGAACTGAGACAGAGGGAGGAGAGAGGTAAGGAGAGAGGAATGAGAAGGGAAAGGGACTCGCACCCCAGACAGTAATGGAAGCACAACAGCTCTGCCTCCTTCACTACCTGCTGTCTGCTGTGGTGGGGGGTGTGAACAATCTTCCGAAGCAGCCAGGGCTTCCAGAGCCTGCAGGGTGGACACCAGAGCATCGTCCAGCTCTTGGGCGTGGTCTCGGACCGTCCGCGTTTGGACGCTGTCTATCAGCGTCACCGGGATCTCGTCGTACAGGATGCCGCAGAGGTGTCGGCCCTGCTCCTGGCTCTGCGCGGCCGCCCTGCGCTTGGGGTCGTCCTCGTCGGAGCTGTTATCCCGAAAGCCAGGCGGTGGGGCGGCGATCGCAGGGAGCAGGGAAGTGGTCTCGTCCGCTTCCTCATCGCTCCCTGGAGGCGGCAGGGACATCAAGTCTACCATGTTATCGTGGGAGCTGCCGGCCTTGCCGCCTTTCCGAGAGGCCAGCCGGCTCTTGAGTTTGGCTTTGCAGGAGTTACAGTAGAAGTGCATGGCATCGTTCCTCAGGTGGTTGTCCATGGTGTTGGCCCTTGCCCTACTTGCCTGATGGTCCCGGTCAAGGCCATCCGGGTTGTACTCTTTGGCAGCACCCTCATAGCCTTGGCCGGAGCTTTTGGAAGTGGGGTCGGATTTGGTCCTGGGCCTGGTTTCCTCAAAGAAGATCAGGTTTTCGTTGATGTCCGTCCTGTTTTCTCGCTGCTTTCTTTGTTCCCGCATGTGCAGGTAACAAAAGCTGACGAGCTCCGAGTCCGATGCCTTGGGAACTCGGGGACTGGATTTCCCAGGGCTGGAGGTAGCGCCACCCAAGAACCCGCTCTCTTTCTTTCCCGAGTGCCCCGCTGCAGCCGGCCGGTGGACGTTGTGCGCGGTGATATAATCTAAACCAAAATAACAATCCTTACGTTAGAGCAGCACCCGTGAGAAGGAGGGAGAGGCACGAAATTCAGCATGCACCTTAGGAACCACCAAACCACAACTGCCTCCTGCTGGGCATTAAAATCCTTGGGATCATAGAATCCTAGAACTGGAGGAGACCTCAAGAGGTCATCAAGTCCTTCACGGCAGGACCAAGCACCATCTACTTCAGTGCTTCTTAAACTTTTTAAGGCCAAGGAACACCAAACAATATTTTTTGAGAAAAAAAAAGGTCGCCTGCCCCTTTAAGGGCAGCCATTTTGAATTCTGTTCTCCGTTTCCATCTGACTTACAGCGCACCAGTGTGCCGTGGAAAACAGTTTAAGAAACACTGATCTAGATCAACCCTGAGAGGTGTCTGTCTAACCTGCTCTTCAGTATCTCCAGGGATGGAGATTCCACAACCCCCCTAGGCAATTTATTCCAATGTTTAACCACCCTGATAGTTAGGAAGTTTTTCCTAATGTCCAGCCTAAACCTCCCTTGCTGCACTTTAAGCCCATTGCTCCTCAGCTTATCCTCAGAGGCCAAGGGGATGTCACAGCAGACTTGGAACATGCAGCAGAACAACGGGCACAGTCTCCATGGGCATAGGTGTTGGTTCTCCTGCAATATGCCAACTTCTACTCCGCTAAGCCAAGCCAAACCCAGAGGGAGCCAAGAGCTTTTTCCAGCTCAGATGATACGCTCTCCACAACGTAGCATTCCCCGGCCCAGCTACTGCAGTCTCCTGCAACCTCTGTGGCACCTTCACTAATATTCAGCCCGGTTAGATCGTTTATATCCAGGTCCAGGACACATGTCAAAGTATCATTTCTGTGCAGGATAACAGGTGGGCAGCGAGCCCAACAGAAAGGTCCCACTGACAAATTGCAGCAGCACAGGCAGAATATCAGGGGCATTAAGTGGAGTGGCAGGTGTCTTCTACTTGAATGAACCAGCTGGGCCAGTTCTGGGCCCCCCACTACAAAAAGGATGTGGACGCATTGGAAAGTGCCCAGCCGCGGGCAACCAAAATGATTAGGGGGCTGGAGCATATGACTTATGAGGAGAGGCTGAGGGACTTGGGTCTGTTTAGTCTGCAGAAGCGAAGAGTGAGGGAGGATTTGAGAGCAGCCTTCAACTTCCTGAAGGGAGGTTCCAAAGAGGATGGAGAGGGGCTGTTCTCAGTAGTGACAGATGGCAGAACAAGGAGCAATGGTCTCAAGTTGTGGTGGGAGAGGTCCAGGTTGGATATTAGGGAAAACTATTTCCCTAGGCGGGTGGTGAAGCACTGGAATGGGTTCCCTAGGGAAGTAGTGGAGTCTCCATCCCTAGAGGTGTTTAAGTCTCAGCTTGACAAAGCCCTGGCTGGGTTGACTTAGTTGGGATTGGTCCTGCCTAGAGCAGGAGGCTGGACTTGATGACCTTCTGAGGCTCTTCCAGCTCTATGATTCTATGATTCAGCAGAACTGGAGTTTCCCACTTGGAGGAATCAACTAGAAATGCCAGCTCCGCTCTAATGGGTCGTAAGTTTTAAGAGTCAGAAAAGACCCTTGTGATCCTCTAGTCTGGCCACCTGCATAGCACAGGGCAGAGCCCTCCACCGAGCAGTTCCTGCACCAGCCCAACAGCAGGTGGTGGAATTGGTTCTCTGTGGGGAAGACATCCGTTTGTCGTGCGAAGGCTCAAAGTGACAGGGAATCTGCCACGTGGGACTCTACAGGAGACCCTCACAATTTGCAGAATTGCGATTCATGGTGGTGCATATTCGCGAGTCTCCTGTCCTGGCCTGAGGGGTGATGGGGGCCGGGATCCACAGTAGGTTCCCCTTAGCTCCCGGCCCCCTCCGTGAGTTTGGGAGCTGTGGGGAGCTCACTGCAGGGGCCAGGAGCCACGGCTCCCAGCATAAGTGAATTTCACCATTCACAGTGGATGCATTTGGGTTAATCACGCTCATGGTTAAAGATTTGGGCCTTATGTCCACCTTGAATTTGTCTATTCCGGCTTCCAGCCATTGGCTCTTGCTGATCACAGAGATATAGGGCTGGAAAGACCTCGAGTGGTCATTGGATCCAGTCCCAGTGCTGAGGCAGGCCCAGGTACCCCCAGACTCACTAGAACCCTCTAGCATCAGTAGTAAATGTTACATACAGAGTGTCCTCCACTCTCCAGAGACTTTTCTTTGTGGGAGGTAGAATCCAGGCCTCGGGAGGCATTTCTGACTGCATTCGCAGCTGACCTGCACAGCTCTGCAGGTCAGTGCCAGGGGACACAGGCTCCTTGTTACAAAATCAAATGCAGTCAAATAAATCCCTGAGCGCAATAGCTCAGCAACATGGGCAATTTGTCTCCCAATCCCCCCGTGGATTAAAACGCTCACCCCCCGCAGCGTAAAAACACCAGCAAGAATAAAGAGAGATGGTAATGGACACACCAGTGGCCCGGGCTAAATCTGTGTAGCTAAGCTTGACACCCGCTGCTCTTGCATGGCTCTGGGGACTAGGGATGGACAACAGAACCTCTCACTTCCAGGCCAGCAGTTCCAAGCCAGCTCCCTCGTTGGACGGCTCAAGAGAGAGGCTGAGGACCGAAGGGGCCCTGGAGACTGAACTAGCCCCTCCCCTCTAGAAGCAGGCAACCTCCAGGTCTGCACTGAAGTGAATGAATGGGGGAGGGGGAACGCTGACGCGACACAACTTGGCCGAGTGGGAGTGTGACCCATTTATGGGAGGGACAAGCCCCCCGCTTCGTCCCCTCCTGCATGTCCCTGCATCACAGCCACTTGTGGCTGCGTGGGCACAGTCCCTGAAACAACCACACTGCAGCGCAACGCAAGGCTCTCCCTCGCCCTCTCTCTGCCCCGGTGCAGGCTGAGCACGCTGTGGTGCCTGCAGCCCCCTCGGCAAGGGGCGAGCAGGAGGCTGGCTTCAGGAACTGAGCTTGCCTGGTACCACAGGACGCTAGCCACGAGCCCATGGCAGTGCCTGTGCCCATGTGCCACATGGCAGAGCCGGGGGCAGGCAGGGGACCTTTGCTGCGCATTCGAATCCCTTCTGTGGGCTAGCTGTGTATGTTTCTGGGCTGGGGCGTAAGCAGGAGCCGGCAATCAGCCAACCCGTCAGCTGCCCTCGCTGGGTTAACACCAGCTTTGAAAGGATTTTCATGGAGGCAGCACATGACGTGACTGCCCAGTTCTGCAGCCCAGTGCGCTGTGCCTGCCGGCCGCAGCTGATCAGATGGACATCATCCAAGGGAGATGGATTTCACGGATAATCCCAGCATAGGAAACTCACCCCTAACAACGGCTGCAGTTCCCCAGGGGCCTTCTGGGGCCCCCGGGACACGGATATGCTCCTCTCCCAGGCAAAGGGTGGGAGGAACTGATTTTCCAGTTAAGATTTTGGCACTGCTTGCAATCTGCAGCCCAGGTAATCCGACCCGCTCTGTCGGAGCGCTCTGGCTCTCCTGCCGAGACACGTTCTCCGGAGGGATCGCCTGTCTTGGTGGGCTAAATCCAACCCTTCTGAACCCGACCCGGGCAGCGGGGCTGGTGCGCTGGGCTCCAGCGAGGCTCAAGGGGGAAAGACTTTCACCCCTCAGGACACAGGGGCTTTTACTGTAGCCCTGAGAACACAACAGCTCTTGTGTCACCATGCGACAGGGATAAATGGCTCTTGCAGCTGCGCAGCCACCAATGCATTGCCTCCCTCCAGCGCTCTTGCTGCCCCACCCTCCCAATCCAAGCACCTAGAGATAGCCCCCCACCAACCCCCATGCACTGGGGCACAGAGGGAAGGATCAGATCTACCCTGACATTTGATTCAGTTACAGAATGGGACCCTGGGATGGGTACTGGCCCTTTAAGGCAGCGTCAACCAGCTCCATCTCATATGGAGATATGAAACCCCATGGTCCTGGCTAATGCTGCTGCTTCTACCCTCTACACTGCCCCTGCACATCCCTACATCATAGCCACATGGGCGGGCAGACTTCCGCAAGTGACCAGTGATTTTGGGTGCCCAAGAGGAGTCCCCTTGAAGGTGGCACGGTTTGCAGATGCACCCCTGTACTCCAGACCCCTCTACGGTTCTCAGATTGGACGCCTCAGAATCGAGGCACCAAAATCACAAGTCACTTTTGGGAGTCTTGGCTGTACATCTTTGGTTCTAATGCACAGCAGCCGCGGTGCCACAAGCGTCCGGTACGGCTCCCCCCACACCCTCGGGCGGGATGTGAGCGTGTCTGACTCTACATCTCTGCCGCTCAGGAAAAGCAGCAGGAAGTTAAACAGCCCTTTGTTCTGGATGCAGCGTAGAACCCTGCCAAACCCAAGCCAACTGTAGGCACATGAGTCACGGCGGCTGCACATCCTCTGTGGGCACATTGCAAGCGGATTCAGTGCTGATTCCTGCGGGTGGCACTAAGTCTTTATAAATGCCAGATTTATGCTGACCCAGCTTAGAGCTGCCCCGTGGACCTGATGTTATGATACCACATGCCACCTGGCATGTGACAAGCAGTGGGAGTAAAATTACTGTTACTTTTTCACAGAGGAACCAAGAGGTTAAGTGATTTTCCCAGGGACACTCAGTGAATCAGTGGCATATGCAAAGCCAGAACCTGTCTTCTGAAACCCTGTTTTTTCCTGCTAGCTAACACTGCCTGCCGCATAGAAAAGGTCTCTGTTAGTTTTAGTTCTACCCCAGTGCCGAGAAGGAATCCATCTCCTTTCCGAACTGGGCTAAATAGCAGAGCAGGGGGCGCAAAAAGCAGAGGCTGAAACGTACCTGCCTTGGTAATCTGAGGAGGCAGCTGCTGGCTGGATGGTCTAGAGAACATCATCTTCTTGGTGTCCACCAGGAGGCGGCAGTACCCTGCTATCAGGCAGGCAAAATTGGTGGCTTCCGGCCACTCCATCAGCCACACCAGTGGCTGGAAAGGAAAAAAGGAAAAGCAAATAAGGACAATGGGTTTCAGCTAATACACAAATGAAGCCAAGAGCGCCAAAGGGACTGTTTGTTGGACCTACACTGGATTGCATTCTTTTTAGGTAGGAGGGAAATGCTCCTCAATTCATCCCTCAGCTACGGCATGGCCACACAACCTGACCCACTGAGAAATGAGCCACGAAACACAACTCGACTGTATAACGGGGTGAACACACCCAACTTCCCCGTCCTTATCCCCAAATAGAAAACCGAGCTATAAGCGTTCACATAGAACTAACTCTGCCTACAGCGCCTAGTGTTAGAAGAATGCCACCAGGACCCGGAGAGGTCTGAAGAAACAGGAGCTGCCAGCAGTGAACCGTCAGGAAGGATGAATTATTAACTCCTCCCAACTCCTAATGTATGGCGGGGATTTACAGCTAACCATCTGGCCAGTTAAATCTGTACCTTAGGAGCAAGTGTCGTTTGTTTAGGAGAACATTTATCCTCATGCTAGAAAAGGGTTTTAATCTCCGCTGTGAGGGAAAAATCAGACACAATCTCAGCAATTCTAGGTGCAGAATATAGCTCTGAGATGGTAAAACTGTTTTCATCACACTAGGGAGAGGCTGCTGTTAGGAATGGACTTTATTTCCACCTGCAGATACAAGGTTGGACACACCGGGGATTTGCTTCAGTTCCTGCCATCAGCAGCCGGGCACGGCAAAGCTAAACCCCTGGAGTAGACAGGCAGAGCAGCTGTTGCACGGGCGCGGTTCACCTTGGTTTCAAGCAGCTCTGCTGATGCAGTCACCCCAGCCTGTCTACGTTAGGGGGTTGCCCAGGTGCAGCTGCACTGTAGCTGCCCTTTAACGGCTGGATTCGGGGCAGCCCTCCAGACAGCCAAAGCCTGGGGCTGCCCAGTCCATAGGAAGTCAACTGGAGTGGTTCGAGGAGTTTTAATATAAATGAACTGGGAGCAGTGCAAGAGGGAGCCTCCCGTCACTGCCTTTCACGAGGTGAGAAATGACTCCTGGTCTCACCTCATCTGTCACGGTACTAAGAGGCCACCGACTGGGGAAAACGTGACATACTAACACAGAGCGTGGCCATCTCCCAGGAGACGTGTGTATGGCTGAGAGGACGTGGAATGTCAGGGATAGCCGGGAACCTGGACAATTATTATTCATACTGCAGTTCAGCTCCTAGAGGGCCCAACTGAATTGGGGTGGGGGGGGGGCTGTTGTCCTAAGCGCTATTCACACACAAGGAAGGATAAAATTCCACCTGCCAAGAGTTTCTATTCTAAGGAGACAAGACTGGGGAGAGACCGGATTTGCCAAGGTCACGCAGGGGGTGAGCGGTTGTGCGGAGAACCAAGATCTCCTGGTTCCCAGTCAAGTGCTCAGTCCACTGGCCCATCCTGCCACTCAGACACAAACCCCAAACCGCGCTAGGTTGCACTGGTTGGCCATTTTAGGAAGCACACGGCTTCACAGGCAGAGCAGTCCAGGGAGTTCCCAGAGGAGCTGCTGGGAGTGTTGCTCGGTGTTTGCTCCTGTTGCCATTCACAAGCTGGAGAGGCAGAGTTCTTTAGCATCTTCTCAGAGCCTACCTGGAGGCAGAGCAGGGACAGCTACAGTGGCAGCTTCAAAGAATGGAGAATATTCAGAGCTGCAAAGCGAGCAGAAGAGGACGGGGATGCAGATGGTGCGTGGTCCTGCTATGAGGGCAGGGGACTGGACTTGATGACTTATCGAGGTTCCTTCCAGTCTTTTTATTCTGTGTTCATAATAAGCAAACGCGCTCAAGCAGGGATCTTTGCCATCAGCATGTTTTATGGGTTTTAACTGTGTAAAAGGGGTTTTTACTGTGGGCACAAATAAACACTAAACCCAAGAATCAGAGAGAGTAAGAAGCGAAACAAGGGAAAGAAGTGGCTGCATCGTACAGCACACAAGAGCTCACAGGATCTAGACTCTTCATGCACTTCATGAACGCTGCCTAGCCTCAGTGGGAAACGAGGAAGGTAGCCAACGTGTTCTGCTAACAGCTAGTCCATGCTGCAGATTTCCCAGGTTTTTGAAGCTGTCTGTCCACAGAGGGAGCACTTGCTTTTCTCTGGTCTGTAAGCATAGTAATCTGAGCACTAGCAACAAGAAAGGAAGTGGTAAGACCTGACGGAGGCCAGAGAAGCAACTGCCCACACCTGCCAGTGCTAAGAGGGGATGACACAAAATTCATTTCAATTCAGTCCAAAGTGCAGAGGCTCGTTTGAGTGCTGGTGGCACAGAGGGCAGATTTCGGTCACCGTGGCACAGAATTTAAGGGCAGACAGGACCCCTCAGCTCATCCACTCTGATCTCTCAGGCCACCAACACCATGCACCTCCCCCTCACACCCAACAGCCAAAATAAGATCCAAGTATTACAGCCCATGGGAGATTAGACACAGGCGCAGAACTGGAAGGACTAAGGTTCACCCTTGCAATGGCAGGGAAGCAATGAAGTGAGATAGCCCCAGATGATCCTGGCACCTCACACACTGCAGAGGAAGGAAAAAGACCCCCAAGGGCATTGCCCATCTGAACCCGAGAGAAATTCTTCCCTGAGTCCCACATACAGCGATCAGTTACACCCTGCGCATGTGAACAAGAGCCAGCCAGCCAAGCCAGGATCAGAAATGGCCACTGGAGTAGCCTCCTCACAGGAGGGAACACTCTACTGGCAGCAATATGATGGAGCCAGCTTCTGCCCCCGTCACCTGCACACCCTTGCACAGCGGGAAAGGCAGAGCTCTGAGAGCTGCCAGGGCCAAGTAATCAGCGCCCTGATTTCTCTTCACCCTTTGCAGCAAGTGGAGGCTGGAAGCAGCTTCAAGGGGTTTTTCTGCTAAACCAGACTATTTTGATTTTTGGACAATTCCACCATATGAATCAAGGAGACGGATTGTCCCCAATCTCTCCAAAGCGACTCATTGTCAGAGAAGCCCAGTCTGTATATTCTGTCAGGAGTGAAACAGGACTGGCTCTGTGATCAACACAAACTGGCACTTTCTGCATATAACTGAAAACCAAAGGGCAGAACTTATGAGGGCTACTAATGCTGTGTCCCTTGTCATGACTCCATGGGAGCACAACTACCTGGGTTTTGTTTGGTAATCAGTAAGGGTGTGTCTAGACTACATGCCTCCGTCGACGGAGGCATGTAGATTAGACAGATCGGTGGAGGGAAATGAAGCCGCGATTAAAATAATCGCGGCTTCATTTAAATTTAAATGGCTGCCCTGCTCTGCCGATCAGCTGTTTGTCGGCAGATCGGGGCAGTCTGGACGCGCCGCGTCGACAAAGAAGCCTTTCTTGATTGGCACAGGTATGCCTCGTGAAACCAGGTTTACCTGTGCCGATCAAGAAAGGCTTCTTTGTTGACACGGCGCGTCCAGACTGCCCCGATCTGCCGACAAACAGCTGATCAGCAAAGCGGGGCAGCCATTTAAATTTAAATGAAGCCGCGATTATTTTAATCGCGGTTTCATTTCCCTCTGCCGATCTGTCTAATCTACATGCCTCCGTCGATGGAGGCATGTAGTTTAGACGTACCCTAAGATGCACATCCTAGCTGACTATAGCATTACTATTTTGCAAGCAAGAAGTCTTAACATCAGTTAGCATTAGCAGCTTAGCAAAAGTGTGTGTGGGGGGGAGGGGGGGAGGTGCATACTGCTTTGTAATTCTACAAAACACATTGCTTGATTAAATGATAATGACATTTAGGCGAATGACTGGTGCTGGTTTTGTTATACAGCTAGTCAAGTGTGAAGGTTTTATTATTGCAAATTAAATGTCGTCGTTAGTTGTACAACAGCACACTTGATCCAGTTGCTTACCCCCTAACTGGGCTGGTAAAAGAAAAGAGAAGGGATTGTGAATGAGAGAGACAGGAGAGGGTAAGCCAAGATACTTTACAATCCTAGAAATCTTGGTCCGTATGTTCCAAGCATGCAAGGAGAATGAGTTGTTAAAAAGATGGTTGGATGTATTATATATTCCAAACATGCCAGGGAAATGGGTTGTTCAAAAGATACTTAGTTAAATAGGACTTGAGACTAAATGGGGATAATGTCCATTCTGAACAGTCAGTTGTTCAATTTACAATCAGTGTTGCTTGGGAATTTATGTAGCACTAGCTCTGAACTGCTTTCAGTTGGGCTGCTGAGCAATAATAATAAAGGAACTGAGCTGTGCTTTATGGTGTTGTTTTCTCTTTGTAGATAACAGGGATTTACCACGATGTGCTTAGGATCCCAGACTTTGGCAAGGAACAGCGAGGAGGTGGACTCCTCTCGCTCCAGGTACTGCATGTCTGGAAAATCAACTTTTCCGGATAATTGTGGGGCTTCTGGTACCCTAACTACCCTACTGTAATAACAGTATTTATCCAGCTTGCGTGGTTCCACATAAACCAGTCAGTGCCAGTAGTCTACAGTAATCCTCATGGCAGATCATGTGGCCTGGGTGATCCTTTTTGATAGGCATGCTCTTTTTGCTCCCAGTTCTGCAAACCATTCAAGCACGTTTAAATCTGTCTCTGATCAGCATAACGCTTCAGTATATGCTTAACTTTAAGTACGTGCTTAAGTCTCGTTGAAATCACTGGAATAAAAGTAGGTGGGTGAGTGCTTGCTGAATAGGGTTAAGCCAGGGATGTCAAATGCCAGAGCAATTGGGAAATCTGGCCTGGGAATCCCCACGGGATGCGTGGGAGCTGCCCATTACCATTCCCCAAGTCTGGCCCTTCCGGCCACCACCCCGTCCTCTCCCATGGCACCCTGTTCCCCGAGGACACGGCATCAGGGGTTATGGGGGCCACTGGTGCGGTGTGGCCCCCTACGCTCCCGGGGTGGCAGGAGCCGTGGGGAAGCAGGGTACACTCAGCCGGTGCACCTCATTTCTTTAATGAAAATGTCCAGTAACAGTCTCCTGTTTTTCAACCAGCTCAATCAGGA